ATTGAAAATGAGCGCTAATTGTATTAGTTCATGCGTTAGTGTTTGCCTTGTCATACTGTACACCAGACATGCACAGCGGCTCGCTGGACATCTGTGGAGCTCCGTGCTGCTGCGAAGGGCTGGGCAGCATGCAGTCTCCTCTCTGGACAAGGCCCTGTCTCTGGCCCACCCCACTGGCCTCAGGCTTAAATGATGCTAACGCCTGTTCTGCAGGCAAGCCTGGCATTAAGACCTGGCATTGGTGACATGCACAGCAGGCCACACAGGCCCATTAGCTTTCACTGTGGGGATCTTCTATCCTCTGCTTCTCTGTACTGAGGTTAGGCATGAAGGGCTGTGTCCCCTGAACATGTGGACAGCATGTGTGTTCACGTTATACTGTAGGACTAGAAACGTTTCTGGCAGTTTTCTTTGCACATTTTCTGGGTAGGACACTGGTTCAAACGCCAGTGTTTTCACGCTTTTTCAATGCTGCAGTTGCAGTTATCATTAAATAAGATGTTGCTTTAGACCAGTGTGTCTGTTTGGCTGCAACTCTTATCCAAATTAACTTACACTTGCTCTCATTTATACAGCTGGGTATTTTACTGGAGCTGTTTGAGTTCAGTGGTACAACAGCAGCGACTCACTTGTAATTTGAACCCATAACCTTCTATGGACATTATAAATCCACAATAACTATTGCCTCTCACTATTGTCCACCTTTTCTAGGTTGTACAGTTACAATGTCTTTTCTTGTCTACTTTAGCTCCACCATGCTGTAGTACACCTGAATAGTTTGGAACCTCCTAAGAAAAAAATGAGAATCAAATAGCCTATATGTGCTCCATACATGCACAATGTCATGTATGCCTTCATGCAACGGTTCAAAATGTTTGGCATTGTGAAGAGATCATTTGGTTACATATGTTAAAGCCATTTTGAATGCAGACTTGTATGATGGCTTGAACCAAATGTTTGGACCTTGGTTTTGCAGTCGCTGTATCCCTCGGCCACATGGCAAGTCAGGTGAAGAGAAATTGAGAGAATTAAGTGCTGCATAACAGCTAGAGGACCAAAGAGCTGCCTGTGAAGTGTAGGGTGTCTGTTTGTGCAGTTTAATAGGAACCATGCACTGCTTCTTCCAAACTAAAAAACAACTCAGCTGAAACCAAAAAATCTTGTGTATTCATGGGTGACTGGAGAAACTGAAGAAAAGAAGCCAGTTTAACACGTAATTACTGAGCACATTTTAATTAGCAACTTTTTGAAAAATGCAGAAGAGCTGCTGGCCAGGTGATAGTTGGTCCTCATTGTGTGAATTTTCAAATTACAGCTGCAGGGAACAACACCTTTTGGTTTCTTGTCATAATGGAGTATATTACAGTTTAACGAGGCATTGTTTGGGAAGCTGAAGAGTTTAAGAGTTTGTGTTCTACATTGAGAGATAATGTGTTGTTTAACTGGAAATGGAGGTTGTAGCTCCTACGCCGTAAGGATTTTCACTATGGTATTTTTCAGCATCTCACTGCATGTGACTTCCCTCAAGCCAGTTTGAACTGTTGTTGTGTGGTGTTGGCTTAAAGCACCGTTGTGAATGCAGCTCTCTAAAAAGACATTACCGGTTCCCACTTTCTGCACAAAGCGTTAATGAAGAGGAAGTGCTAATGATTTCTTCTCCATAAATTAGGGGTCTATTCTCAGGTGGAAATTGGTTTTCAGGAGGAAAATATGGTGTTTGCCTTCATCTCCATAAAATCCTCTAGTACAGCAGTTCCTAAACTTTGGTCCATGGAAACCTCATGGTCCTGAAATTACTACAGAGAGTCCACAGACAAGAACTGATGTGACGTGGAATCCGATTTAAGACTAAAAGTGTTATTGCTTCAACCCGACAACCTGTCTTTGAAGTCAAAGTCAAACAAAACCGTCATCTCATTAAGTTACTCAGCATATACACATTTACACACTGCTGTGATTTGCAAGTATGTTTGTTGAGGTAATGAAAAGGAGTTTCACATAATTTAAGGTGTATGCATTACATATGTTTACTGGATTGAGTGTGGCTTATTTCTTTATGATGTATGATGTATCCTGTATGATATATTATTATAGATAATATAACCTCTATGTAACGGAATGTAAAAAAACAACTGGTAGCACACAGTGCCCCTTGAAACATTTGGAAATTGAAAAGGGTTCCTTGTGCTTAAAACATTTGGGAACCGCTACTCCAGGAAAAATATGCATCCTCACAAACTGAATGGAAAAATAATGAACACTGTGTTCGCACTTCTGATATTTTCCTTTCAGTGTTGTCTATTAAAAAAAATGGAAATGGACCTTTTGACTGTATTCAGATAACAGTCTTTTTACACTGACAAATGTTATAATAATGCTTGAGGAACTTTCAGATTGACTCTGCAATCACAAATTTGTCACATAATGAAACAAAACTGAGGGATGTCCGTATACTTGACCCGAGGATAGATGTTTTAGGAATCCTTTCTAAATGCCTTCTGTAACCTCATCTTCACGTGACATTAAGTGCTGTCGCCTATACACGATTTGCAATTGAGCTGTTTAATTGCTTTTGTGTGTGCATTTGTTTTTAAACTTATAACCTGACTCCAGAAAGCCTTCTTTTTCACTGAGCGTGCAATCCATTAAAACTGGTTTGGTTTTCTGGCATTTGACCAGCCAGGGTAATTAGTTTGTGTTTATTCCTGCGTGGTGCGCGTTTTCAATAACGGGCAACATAAGCTGTTGCTTATTCCAGAAAATGATCCAACAAATGCTCCAGCGGCTTCAACCCTCCACACGCATCAGCAGGACGGGTTTGCCTTGGAGAAGTTCCCTCTTCCTCCCCGGTGGTCGTTGCTGAGCCCTGCTACCTGTTTCCTGGAGAAATGTTGATCGCACAGAGCTTCTCTCTTGAAACCGAGCGAGGAGGGCTGGCCCCTTGCAGCGCGCTGGTCTCCGGCGACGTGGTGCCTGGCTGTGTGTTGCAGCGTGTGAGTGGAGGGAGACAGGCTCTGATTATAGTGGAGAGCTCCAAGTGTTGTTTAGCTAATGGATTAAATGGGGAGCTTGTGCTGGTGTGCCTAATGAAAAGAAAGGAGCTTTACCCGTGGCAGTCCTAGATGCCGGCTCGCTCTCCTCTGTCTGCCAGGGGACTGCTGGCCAAGCCTTTGGTGTGAGCGCCTGACAGCATGTTTACGCTCGGATATTTATTCAGCGCGGCGTAGGTGAAGTGCTGGGTAAATGCTCAACCCCACCCCTGACACCATGTGTGTTCCTGCAGGGTCCATTCCAAAACAGGTGAGGGAGGCGCTATGTTTATCCCTGTGTGGGACCCACGCCACTGCAGGGGCGGGAATCAATTCTGATTTTCCAATGTTATTTAGCTGTGCAAGGATGTGAGCTCTCTTGGGTAAAGATCCAATTGCCTGTGGAATCTAAAATACAGAAGATGAGACTACAGAACAGTATACAAGATAATGATGTGAGCAGTGCTCATTATTACCCTATCCACTGACTGAATCGATCACAGCATCACTTGAGCCTAGACTTGAGTCTCCATCTGTACGGCGTGTCCTGATATTTCACTTCATGCATTGAAAACTCTGCTTTTAAAAAAAAAAGTATTTGATAATATTAGTGTAAGATTTGATTTAACCAGGGCAGTTGTCCTTCTTTCTTTTCTGTTCATTTCTAACTTACTGATTCCCTTTAAAATCAGGTGACCTTAATTGGGGCTTCCTAAGTTTAGATTATTTGAAAACTGGGACTGAAGAGATGAAGCACCTTCGGCCTTTCCTCATAACTCATCTGTTTAGTCCTTTGTTGCTCTCCAGTTATTTTTATCCCCACATGTAAGGCAAAGAACAGAACTCTATGCAGTACTCCTGATGAAGTCTAATCCACTCTGTGCTTTAAAATTGACTTCTTTAGACATAAACCCCAAGGATACAATTGGAAGGTGCAGTTGGGGGGGGGGGGGCGACAAACTTTTAAAACTGAGAACAAGACACTTCTTTACCCAAAGGGTTGTACGAATTCTGGAACAAGCTAATAAGCGGTGCTGTGGACACTCTGATACTCCGGCTTCTTTCAAGAAACAGCTGGAGGAGATCGTCGGTTCATTCAGCACTCACTGCCCAACAGGCTGGATGGGCCGGAGCCTCCTCTCATCACACAATGTACTGTGTTACTGTTTGTGGCTGGGCTTGGGAACAGTAAGTTCTGTACTTGCACAATGCTAATTTTCAAAGTCATTCATTTCATTGTCTAAGGACAAGATGTTCACTAGCAAAATAGCGTGAGATTTAGAGATACGTAAGGATTTCCAGACTTGGATTTTTCTTCAGTTTTCTGCCCCTTCAATTTCCCATCTTTGAAAACCTTTTCCAAACCAAAGCTCTGCATTTTGTTACAATTGTCCACGTTTAACAGAATCTTACCTTTCTGATGTGACATTGCCAAAATAATCTTAACATCTCCTGACTATGCTTGGACGTCCATGGCTTATATTACTAAAGCAATGCACATTTTTAATTATGAATGTGGTTTTCTGACTACATGTTGTTGGCTTAATTCAAGTCTGTTAGAACTGGAATTATTTGGAAGGGAATACAAGTTTTAAATATCCCAAAGATTTCAAGGGTTTGTAAAAATGCAGTATCTGGATTTGTGTATTAGGCAAAACATTCCGTCATTTTATACTGTATTAAAAAACTTTAGTTGGCATTTTGGCAGCTTTTCAGAGCCTCAGGGTTACACATAAAACACTTAAAAGGGATGTTAAATCCTGTCGAGGCTGAAATTTTGGCAGAGCTGACACCTAGTTGTACTCTCAAGATTGAGGTACAGAATTGCATATTGGATTGATTACTGATATCTGTCATTTAAGAATTATAGCCCTTCATGCCTGCTTGGAGACAGTGCTTTGGAAAGCTGTTTAAGGCTTTATTGAAACCAGATCGTTCTCTGACATTGAGCCTTTTTTCTCTCATTTACAGTACATCAAGATTCCAGTCCCTTCTGCTGACTCCTCGGGAGCTCTCCGTGTTTTCTCTTTCTACCTGTCCAGCGACAGCAAAGACAAACCTCAGGCCAGCTTTGACTGTATTCACCAGTATGTCTCCAGGTATGTCTTGTGCACAGCAGTTTGCTGCACACTCAGGCGGGTAGTTCATTTGAGATCCCTGAGATGTGTGAACAGAGAGAGTCCCGCACTTGTGCATTCTCCACTCTATGCTCAAGTCACTGGGGTCACATCTCTGCAGCAGGTTCACAGAGAGCACACCTTTCATTTTGTAGATTTTAGCAAATGCAAAACATGGAATCTTTTTGCTCTGAGAGGAAAAATAAAATGCTGGCAGCTATTCTGAAGTCTTCATTTATGTTTACGAATAAGGCCATTTGGGAATTACCAAGTTATGGGAAGCATTAAGTAACATGTTTGGAACTGATCATTTATTATGACTTTGTACACGCAAAGTCAAGAATCCGAGTTTCAATGCCACTGGCAGGTCAGAAGCGGACATGTCTTGATGGGCCTAGTTAATTGTGAGACTTCGGCTGAAACAAAGTGCAAATTTAGTGCTTTCATTGTGTCTCCTATCGCACGATGTTTCCTCCCGTATTAGAGCGCAAATATCTCATCACTTAATGAGCAGTAAGGTGTTCCCGAAGCGGCCAGAGTGAGCTGTCTGTGTGACAGCCGTCTTGGCGACAGAAGCTACAGCTGCAGCCTGAACTTTGCTGTGCTGTACAGCTGGGAGAGCAAGCCAAGTGTAATATTAGGAATGATCCGAGTTCCTAATCAGATCCGAGTTCACCAGGGTCCTGTCAACAGAGTTGGTGCCTAGAGAGAGAGAGGTTTTAAAGGTTTCGAGGATTGTAAAAGCTTCATCAAATGCTGAATTTTGCAGGTTAGGATTGATGGTTATGCTTACCTGCTTTTCAGAGACACAAGTAAATGAATATATTTGTTTTTTGATAAACTACTGTTCAGAAGATTGCAGCATCTTTAATTGTAAAAACAACATTCAGACAAAGACTCAACCTTAAAACATTTTTCTAAATCAGCTTTGCATTCTTTGATAATTTGTTTGGAACAAATTCAAGAGGACTGTTTAACCTCTTTTAATTCAGAACAGGTCATTTTGGATTTGTCAGCACTTTGCCATGAGGAGAACAGTTTGGCAGGGCTCTGCTGTTTAATCGTTCCAGATGTTTGCTTTGCGCTGGCTGTTGATCTGAATGCAGCAGCAGAGTGATAAAAAAGGCTGAACTGTCCTCACATTATCCACACTGATAAAACATTTTTGCCATGCCTACAGGAAGCCAGCAGCCGAAAGGGCACATTTCACAAGCGCAGCTCGAGCGTGTTGATCTTTTTCTTAACTTCAACATCACATGGCAGTTTTTATTCTTTAAATTCAAGACTTGATGCAGTTAATAGGTTTGTAAATGGTTTACTGAGCACCCTGCTGACGCAGTCTGGAGACCATTTCTAAAGATACAGATCAGTGCTGTTCTCGCTCTGGTCTTGACATTCACGGTGTCAGTTAATCATTGAACACACTATAAAGGAAGACCTCACTCATTAATTGCTGCTCTGGTTAGGCAGGATGTTGGCACATTTCTTGTGCACTTTGGCTACCAGCTCCTGTTTTGCTTTGTTTTTTTTTTTCGTCTTTTGCTTTTCCATTTGGTTTAAGGTGTTCCATCCACAAATCACCCCTTAGTGCCCTTCAGACAGAGCAGCGGCAGAGAGGAGCTCCTGGCGGAGTCTCCTGTCTGTGGACGTGCAGCAGCTGCCCGAGTGGCTCTTGCTAATGGAAACAAAACATCAGCAAAGTTCTGTTTTGAGATTAAAGACTTAAGTTGCAGTGAGGGGGAATAACATGTCTGAACATGAAATGGATTTGATACAGATTCCACTTTTGCCTATTTTTAACCGCCCGGTTGGGAATATTTTCCAGAATGCTCTCTCAGATAAAGGGCAGACAGTGTTGATTAACCTGTGCCATGGTGCTAGCTGCACCGAGCCTGAAGAATTCCCGAAGGCCTTCCTAACACTTCACTCTTTGAATTCCTTTGTACCCCCTGAGAAAGGAGCTTGTAAGTGGTGTTCTGGAAGAGTAAGGGGCACTCTGTCCAGGCCAATGGGAAAGACCAGCAGCTGCTGACCTTTGCCCTGCAGTGCCATCACGGTATTATGATGGTGGTGCTTGGTGTCAAAGGTCAGGTCAGAGGGCAGCAAAGCACAGTTTTGCTACCCAGCTGCCCAAAGGGCAATGGAATGCTAACGCTGTCTGATGTTCTCGATGCCATTCTCAGAATTCATGATGTATATGTGATTAGTTTAAAAACCGAGAAAAACGGTTGTAGCACTCTTACATCTGTTTAATTAGATTTCTGAGGTCTGGTTGGGAACAGTCACCAAAATGGAGCGCTATCAGAGCGATATCGGGTAGCACAGCCTCAGAAAACTGCAGGGCCTGCCATAGATTCTTGCTGTTTCCCTGGAACAAGGGTGTGGTGCAGGATCTCGGGGTCGTTTTCTCTCTCGGGGGCTCGCTGCACTGTGATCAAGCGCCTGGTGTGGGCTGTGTCCCCGCTGGGCTCGGACGAGAGCAGCTTGTTTCAGGCGTCCGTTCCCTGACCGGCTCTCCCTCCACCCCGGCAGCGATGGCCGCGAGCAGCTGGAGTGCCAAGGCAGTATTCAGGACAAGATCACCGTCTGCGCCACCGACGACTCCTACCAGATGACCAGGGAACGCGTGTCCCAGGTGGAGAAAGAGACCTGGAGTCGGGCGGCGATAGAAATCAAGCCAGGGACGACACATCCGAGTAAGTGTTAGAGATGATCTTTCCATTCTGGTCGTCTTAGAAGCTTTTCACTAATAGCATACCCCAGGATGGTAATTGTGCAGATTCCCAGAAGGAGGGAGGTCAAGGGATGTCAGATCCAACAATATGTACAGTTCCTCGCAAAAAGACTGATCATTATATATTATCTCTCTTTTCACTGATATTGCACTCGGAACAGGGCCGTTCAACTGAGTGACTTGTCCAAGTCATTTAGGAGTGCCTTATCAAAGGGCCCACATATTTGCATGTTTGTAATATTGTAGTTTTGGATTTTCCTTTGCAGTTTTTCCTTACATTAAAATTTCACCCAGTGTTCAAGTGTTTAAGCCTTTGAGATTTGATTACAATTTAAGTGTTTCTGACACTTGTAATTTGACTAAATGGGACATCATTGGAAGGGGGTGAATATTTGTGAAGGGCGGACTTCAGCTGATCTTCGGTGAACTTCTGGCCTTGATTGAAAGTGAAAAGTTTTTTTCAGTTGGCTTTTTTTGTTCTCAGGGTACCTGCGCGGCAACTCTGAAGTGTAGACATCTGTTATTCGCCATCTAGGAACAATCTATTGTATTATAGACAGTTATAAAAGATTGCTTGAAGTGTGGTTCATGCTTTGGGCAGGATTAGGGTTTTATTATTAACCTGCAGTAAATCTGTTTCAGAAGTTTAGCACCTTTATCACAGATCATATCACATCTCTATTCTTTATTTTGCTTACATACCATTTTGAGTCATACATACCATTTTCAGCCCCAGATCTCAGACAATGTCTGACTGTATATTTGTTCTTCTTCTGCTAGATTGCTTGGTCACTTTGGCAGTGTCCTAGTTTGATTAATGTGATTGAGATTGCCAGAAGTATGCACTAACAAGGATCATAGAATAGATGGAGTTTGCCTGAATTTAATGTGCTTGGTATTCAATTAGTTTTTATCTGTAAACTAATGGATTATAAATGGGTTCATCTGATGCAGAGTCAGTAATTCATATGAATTCATTAAGACAGAGCTCTGGGACTGTCCTAAGCACCATATTTAGGGAAGTTTTCTCTCTCTGATATTGATAAGAGAAGGTGACCAGACTTTTCTCTAAAAAGAACCGTTTTCTGTGAAACTGAAGCTTTTCTGCTAGGGAAAAACCGACACATGTTATATGGGGAAACTACTGTGAAAATACTAACAGGGTATTTCATAAGATGACTCCTTAGAGGAAACTGGAAAATCAAGTTCCCTTTACTAAATGTTTGTCTTCATTTTATTTCAGTTTATCTTTTCGAAGGCTCTTAGATTTGTGTACCTTTCTCATTAATCTGATCTTGAGTGACTGGAAATGTTTTGTTTATGCGCAGAGTTCCAAGTATTGTGGAGCTCCTTTGCCTCAAAAAAACAAGCCAATACACAGGACAAGCTCAGCTGCTGAGCTTTGGTGTTCATAGGACTCTTGAGTTCAGTAAAAAAAAACACATGGCTCTACTTCCCTTTCAAACACAATCTAATTCTTCTCATTTTCATTTGCACATTCAGTCTTCTGCTAAACATAAATTACAGAACTTTTATTCTGAGCCCTGTTTCTGTGACACTGTAATAATATGCTGAATTCCTGCAGTGGCTCAAAATACCACCTCATTTTTCAAAAACTCCCACCCATGAATTAAACAAAATGCATCACAGTAATTTAAGACGGCGTGAACCTTTTGAAGGAGGGAAGAAAAAGAAACTTGTGTGCAATCATGGGAATTTTGAGGTCAGTGCTAGCTTGAGAATCCTCCCCAGTGTAAAGGTCATTACACAGTCTGAGATAGCTCACATCATCTTAACCCAGTGAGCAGTGTGATGTGACGTACATCTTGTTTTCCACTGCGCAGTGCTGAATATCTTTGGTCGGTTCTGTTACACAAGATGTATAATTAGTCACTGAAGTTAGGTTAGCTCTAACCATACTGAATTCATGGTTGTCTGCGACTCATTCAGTTCTCTCCAGCCACTATGTCTTTATTGCACTTGGGCTTCTGGTCTATTTCCAGTCATTCTGATCAGGATGAAAAAGGCGACCTGATTAGTGTTTAGCAATTGAATGCTCAATGCCCCCTTCTTATCCTCACCTTTCCTGAGAAAGTGTTCCGAAATAAAGTAGGAATAGACATGTGTTTCAAGTCAACTTCGCAAGTCAGCTTGTGACATTCTTAAAAGATTGTCAATATGGAAAGCACAAGATTTTGCAGAAACCCGTGTGCACATATGTGTACTAAAATATGCTAAAAAAATGAATTTATACACTGTTAATAAACTCAGTGTCAAGTAACTTTCACTCTGGTGTAATTTATGACATTACAGGTTTTAAAGAGCTTTTACTTAAACAAATGAGGCCTTAACCTGACATTGGCATTTGGTTTTGAATTGAGTTGCTGTACTAACCTGTCCTGCTGTGTGAGAGGTTCTGTTCATAGTTCTGTTCAGGTACCTAGGTGTTGACGGGAAACAGTAGAGGAAGCTGTGGTTTGGCCTAATGGTTTCAGGGTGCAAATAAAACCTAACTTTGCTTCAGGAGCACAGCTGTTTATGAAAGCTAAAAATTCTTGATGGTTTGTAATAACTAATCTGCTATTTCAGAACAGCTTTTTTTAGTATGAATGTTAGCACTCTAACATCCTCTTTCCAAATGTATGACACCTTTTGGTGGATTTGACAATGTTCAGCTTTCAGAAAACGTAGAGTAAATAGAGCAAAAAATCTTTTGAGATCACCCTGATAATGCTCACGTCCTCGGTGGGTTTTGAATCATTTTAATGAGATGTGCTGTCAGGCTTTTGTACTCTTATTTGGGGAAAAAAGTCCTGCTTTAATATTAATGTTGTTGCTCTTTTAGTGAGTAGTTTTCCACTTCATTTGTATGCTTATATCCATAGAAATAGTAATTAGATGCTGTAGACCTGCAGTGGATCATCCCCAGCTACTGTACACCTGAAACCAGCTTTTTGTAATAGTATATGTTCATTCAGGATGCCCTCAGCTCTGTGATTCTGTGCTTTAATCTTAGAGACTATGTACGCATGCTTTTAGTATCTATTATCATTCAGAATTCAAACTCTTCTTGTGAGGGCAAGTTTAATCTGTGTACTTCAATAAAATGGGACTCTATGGTTACAGAAATCACTTTGGAAGGAGCTTGGGGCATGAACAGTCATGTCCATCATTCAACGAAAGAATGCATTTTTCTACACTTGATAGAATAGTTTATTTATTTTGTACTGTAAATACAGTTAAGTTAATGCCTTGGCACCAAGCTATTGGCTTGACATGTTTTAGAACAGGATTTGAAAATGTGGGGTCTAGGATGTAGCTTAATCTCATGCCTGCAGTGACACTGTCCCATCTTGTCTCCACTGCATGAGGCAAATGTGCCCATGAGCATCAATTTAATGTCACCTGAGTCCCTGACAATGTTGCAGTGATTGCATGAACTAAATGAATGATTCACTGTAGCAGAATCACCGTAGCTAGTCAGGAAGGCAGAAAACACACTGTCTGGTTTCTTAATGTTAGAATGAATTCGCATAAGACATTCAATTTAAATTAAAATATAATAAAGTTTATAATAAAGGCTTAAAGCATCTGCATTCAAAACCTGCTATTGAACACTGGTAATTTAGCAGCACACTTTAAGTGCCTAAGTAACCCATTGACCTGCCAGCAATGATGATAAAAGGTCTTTAACTCCCTGTATTTGTGTACCATTAAAGTGTATAACTATTTAATTAGGACATATACAATAGTCCAAAACCAACTTTGCATGTTTTTTTAGTTGTGTGTTGTTTTAAAGGAATGCCTTTGTAGGGACAGAATAAAATGGAGCTGCTCTGAAACGCGAAGACTGTGGTGGGCCCCGAGTTCTGAGCCAAAGCAACATTCTGCCCAACAGTCCGAGAAGGTTCTGCTGGGCCTCTGTGTCCTACGGTGACCTTCAGAGCAGAGCTTAATCTTTAATGAGATTATGACTGCGAGATATCTGTAAGAACTGCCTTGTCTCGTTACAGTGAGCAGCTGCCTTGAGTTCAGATGAATGAAATAAATGGTTTTGATGGAAGGAAAAAAGACCAGTGATTTAGTTGCTTTATTTGGTCTACTGTTTGCACTGGAATGAAAGGTAAATGGCACTGTAGACCCATTCTCACCCTCAGGTCTATAGTCCCACATGGTACATTACACCCCTGTTTCACAGTTATTCAACTGCTTTCTAAATGTGTTTGTTCAGCAGTGTTTTCTTTGTCTTGCCGTGTTTGCATACTGTACTGCAATATAAAAGACCCTGTCTTGTCAAGGTAAAAGTCTAGAAGCCCCTGGTTACTGTGAATCTTGTTCTGTCTCGGGTTCATTCTTTTGGTTTGAATAACAGTAGCTGGATCTTGGGTTCCTTTGTCATGCAATATATAGCTTTGTTTATTGAGAGCAAGCTGGTCTGTTCTGTGCCCTGCACGGAAAAGAACCTCAGGAGTTCTCCTTACGGACACGCCATAACATTTAGCTTTCTCTTTTCAGAAAGCTTTTCTGTGCTGGATTTTTTGAAGGTTGCAACACAAAAGTATAACCCTGCATTTCATGGACTTCTTTGGTTGAAAAGGTGCTTTCCCTTGGACCTTATCTGATGCATCTTGATGCCCCGTTCTGTAGGCAAATGGAAGACCTTTTTGCATTAAGAGGAACAGGTTTTAATTTGCCCTCCCCCTTTTCAGGTAAATGTGTCAAAATTCAGAAGAAGCACGGCGCGCCCATGCCGGGGGACAGCTTCCCTTCCCACAAGCACTCCCCGACTGGCGCGGGGCCGAAGAGGAGCAGCGCCCCCAGCCCTGTGGCTCACAGGCCGCTGCGCGATCGCATCATTCACCTGCTGGCCCTGAAGCCCTACAGGAAGCCTGAGCTCATCCTGTGGCTGGAGCGGGACAGAGCCTCGCCCAAGGACAAAGCCGACCTGGGCTCCGTGCTGGACGAGGTAAGGCCCGGCCTAGTTCGCCCCAGTGGCTGGCTGTTGCGCAAGGGCCCCAACAAACACACAAGGCCCTCTTAAGAGCTGCACTCTGTTGCGCGGCAGGTGTGCAATCCCGGCGAAAGCAGTTCAGAGGGTTCCTGCTGCAGTGCCAACAGCTAATGCCCAGTTCAACTTGTAGACACTGAAGCCGTGGTGAGCATTGCTACCTTGGAGCGCTGGGGCCCTGGGGTGCTGTCTGTGTGGAGCTGTATTTTCTCCCCGTGTTCTCGTGAGGTTCCTCCAGGTGTCCCTGGTTCTTTTCACAGTCCACAGGCATGCTGGCAGGCTAGTTGGCTTCTGGGGAAAATTGGCCCCAGTGTGAGTGTGTCCGTCTGTGTGTTCCCTGCGATGGACTGGCGTCCTGTCCAGGGTGTGCCCTGCCTTGTGTGCTGGGATAGACCCCCGGTTCCCCCACAACCCTGAATTGTACAAATCAATTAGAAAAATAGACGGATGGAAATTGATGGATTACATATCTAATGTCTTTTAATCTTAATAATGACCACTGAAACGAGTGTCCACCACAATGAACAGGACCGTGCATATTTGTCACGGTGTCCATTTTCATATTTTCGGCACTCAGATGACAAGCACATTGCTGGGTCCAGATAGTCCTCAGAGCGCCACCTCCATGCCCTCCTGTCAAGTGTGTGAAAACCGCAAATCCTGGTTTTAGCTGCACCTTGCAGCCAGATTTAGTGGTTTAGGTTTTTTCTTTAGAAGGCAATGAGTATTGTCACCTCCATGTTATCTTGTGTACTTAAAGCAACACATTCTCCCTTCACCGCTAGGCAGTAAACGAAACACTTGCCTAGTCATATCTGGAGCATATCGTTCTGTTTATTAGTCTTTGTGGTATAGCTCTGTACAAAACACAGGCCTTTCACTGGGGCAGGCGTATTGGAATTGATTTTTCACCAGTATCTCCTGTCAACAAGAACAACATTGGAGCATGTGCTCTTTTGTCTTAAGTAATTGGGAACATTTTCAGAAAGATGATGTCTGAATACCTGAACAATGGTTGGAATTCTTTGATTTTTTTTCTAGAAAATATTTTTTTTTTCGAGAAACAAATCTGCTAAGCTGTCTGACTCTAACACAGCTAAACTGAGTTTAATACCAATATAATGATGCTCGGTTGTTTGCTACGGGTTTAATAATTGATCTTCCCTGTGTTACAAGTAAGGCTTAAAACACATAGTTTTAAATTTGTATGTTGTAATACAAGAATCAAATCATGCACTTAACGCCCAATATCTGTAGGCACATTTTCATTTTGATACAAAAATATAGTATGTGTATTCTTTTTGCATATACATTTTTAACAGCAGTCCATATTAAACTATAATTAGATTTTGAGCTCTGAAAAATAACTATTTGCTTAAAGGAGGAGATGTATTAGTGTTGTTACTAAACTCATCTGGGATGTGCATTTTCCTTATTTATTTTTCCTGGTTACTTTTAGTGAGCCTGCTTCTGTACTGATTAAGGGGAGGACTCATCTCCCTTAATTAAGGCTGTGCTTTAATTATCTCTAGAGGGGAGATTGTGTTTTGACAGAGGAGGGGGGGTGCTCTACTGAAAACAGTATCTCTCTAGCCACCAGACTTGTTTGCCTTGTGTGCACTGTGACACTGGGAGTTTGTAGAGATTGATGTTCACTGCTTCAGTCTCTTAATCTTCTGGGAGACCGTGTTCGGGCTGTCTGGTTATCCTGTAAACCTGGGAGTGGAGGGGTGGCATTGTTTCCCTAACTTAAAGGCAAGGAGCAAATCATATCTGTGGAGAGAGCTCGACAAAAGAGGCAACAATAAACGACATCATCTGTTAGCTTCCTCCTGCGAGAGAGTTTCTTATTTTGAAAACGGAGATGATTTGGAAAAAAATCTGAAAGCAAACAGATGAAATGAGTTTTTTTTTAGATTTCACTCTACAATTCCTGATTTCTTTTTCAGGACACCATCTATTTTTGTTATTCAGCAAGATAATCATAAACTATGAACAGTGTAATCGCAGTGCTTGTTGCACTGAAGTAATTCTGTACAGGCAGGTGTGATTGAATTATTCAGCAGAAGTATTAATCCACATTACACTAACATATTTTTATAATCATAGCCTGAGCAGATGAAATTCAGAATTTTTACAGACAGAACGATTCTCTCTCCATTTAAGGTGAAAAAGTATCTGTGGTTTGTATTTGTTATTTTAATGTAAAGCAGTACATAATGCAATGCTCAGGCCCTGCTGGGAATGTTCTTGCAAGCTTTGACATTAGTGGCAGGTTAAATTACTTGCACATCCAGTTATGGTAATGCATTAACTCATCTGTTCTTGTCATTAAGTCAGGTAGCCGTGCCAGGAACTGTCACAGAGAGCGTTTTCAAACTGATCAGCCAGATATCCAGTTTCTGCACGATCATCCTTCCAAGACACGGCTTCTGATGGCTAAACCGTATTGTTGATGTTTTTGTTGCTGCAGGTGGCGAAACTCAATCCCAAAAACCACAGTTTCACGTTAAAGGATGAGTTCTACCGGCACGTTCATCGGGACTGGCCCGGATACACGGAAGATGAGAGGCAGCACATCCATCGGCTCTTGGCGAGGTGGAGATTTTCTTTCCCTTTGCGTTGATCTTTTGGCTCATCAGAGGCAGGGGCCACCCTTAGGTTACACTGGCATCTCTCTATAATGGGATTAAAGAAAAAGCTTGCTTGCAAATTTGAAACAAACGTCATTATTGGACTTTGTGTAAAACTGCAGTTCTCTGCTTTCCTTTTGCCATTACGGAGAAAGAAGGAACCTGCAGTTCAGTTTCTTGAGTGTCATTGCATTGTTATGTTTGTTTTTCTCATCTCCATTCCATCTGGTCCACTAGGGAAAGAGACAGTGAACCATTTGCACTTATGAATCCCACTGCCTGTGGCTTAAATCCCGTTTGTCTCTTCTTTGCAATGGGATGAGTACCATCTTTCACTATTAGCAACGAATACATTTCCACACCTTGTTTTGTCAGACTTTTGGATCATTAAGATGAGTGTTTTTTTCCTTATTTTGGCGAGAGGTTTATATGAGAGATTAACAAGTGAGCAGAATCCAGGACTGTTTATCATGGATTGATAAATCCAGTTTTTTCTTACATGTGTTGTAAAGAAAGGTATGCAAAGATGGACTTTCTTAAAACCTATTTCAGGAATAACATTTAAAAAACTATGAATCAGCCAACTTAATTACAAAACATTTACTTATTGGATTTTCCGGTAGTCAGGCAGACCTGGGAGATGAGGAGAGGGAAATGATACACTTGACGTAAATGCCTGCTTGTGCCAAATAAGACTTTGGCTTTATCTGCATTTTTAAATGCTTGCCAGTTCTTGCCCACTAACTGAGTTGTGCTATTTGTGCAAAGTCTTTCCTGCTTGTTAGCGCACAGGATTGTAGCGTGTGAACCTGCAACATGTCTCATAGGATGTTATTCACCTTTTATGATGATAATAATTAATTAATTACTACTACTACACTTAAACTAAGCCTTTCTGAAACGAAAAAGAGTTTTGCTTATAATGTGTGCTAGATCCCTGTGTGGGCTGACATGAGTAGTGAGTTAACTTTAAAGGCGTTGGGAGCCCTGGACAAGCTGCCTAGCAATACTGTTGGAGCCGATAACGAACGTCTTTTAAGCAGTGGCAGAATGAAATCCTTGGATCGATCTGATGCTAACTACAGGACAGGCTCGATGGTAGTCAGTATGAATGGCCTTCTCTGTAAGCTTTAATAACTTCTTAACAAGTAATGCAGTAAAAGTGTGGCTTGCAAACAAGACAAAAAACAATAAGCAATTCAAAGCTACCGTCCTGCAGTTCCCCACTGTAGTTTGTTACTTTATCCTCCTTGCTGTTACATGCTGCTCACACGTCTGAAGCAACTCTGCTGGCTTTTTCACAGCCTCCCTGTTCAGTGCTGGGCAGATGGACTAAACGTGCATTTGCAATCGTCCCTGTTGATTAATGTGGTGATACGATTGTCCAAGTGGGAGAGCTTTTGTTTTCACAAAAAGGCAAAAAAGGTTCCTAGTCGTTTTTCTCCGTGTTAGGCACTTCCTCTCAAACAAAACCACATCCCCCACCCCCCCACCCCCCAGTTCAAGATTGAAATGACAAATATGGGTCATAAGGGATGAAATATTTCCCGTTTTTAATTACATTGTGTTATATCTAAGGAAGGGTCTGTAGGAAGCAGATTGCCTGATGGAGAGTTTTGTCTGCGAGAGGAAAGAAGTCGGGCACCATTGTTTGCCTGCTGCCTCCGACTTGCTCAGGCCAGCATTTCACACTCACAGATGTTATCTCTGTCGGGCCTGGGGCGGCGCTGTGCTGCCTGCGTCGGCGTCTGTGCAGGCAGGCCTGTGGCCTGTTCGTGCTTGTTCACTGAGTCCTCGCGAGGAGGCTGCGGACAAGCCCACACCCCCCCCCCATCCCTGGCCAGCACAGGTGTGCTCCCCATTTACACACGATGAGTCAGCTGACCTCGATCCTCAGAGCTGGTCAAGTGCCAGACCTCCCAGGGGTCACTCAGATAACCGAGAGTCAGAACGGCCTGAGCCTTTGCCCCTAAAGTTAACGAAAGTGACAAGAAAGATCTCCTCCCCCTTTTTTTCTTTCTTTTCGCCCCACACTTTGTTTGGTCTCTTCTATTGAGAAAGGTTTTGTGTTCTCCTGTTAACAGGTTTATTATGTATAATATCCGAGAGCTCAGCCAAGCTGCCAGGCCAGCTCGGAACGGCTTATTCATTTTCCACCTTTTTTTTTCATTCCAGGAAGTTGCATCCACTCAACAATAGCCAACAGAAGAGTTTCCAGTCAAACCCTTCATTCCACAAAGCCTCAGGGGATTCTCCTTCACATCTGAGCCCTGTTAAGAATCTTGCAGTGGTAAAATACATGCATAAATAAATACACTGTGTATAAAGTAAAATATAGTGTATTCATGTAAAACTCCTCATTCATTTAAACTGTGGAACATTTTTTTTTTCCAGAAACAGTGGCTAGCAGGCATGAAAGTAAACTAGTCTCACAATCCTCATTGAAGTAAAAAAAGTGAATTACTTGCTTTTTCATAAGTTATAATGTACAGAAGCCACAAAGTAATAGTGTCTCTGACCCCTCAGCCTCACTGCATAACCAGTACAGAGAGCAATGCTCACATGACTTCTTAAAGAGAATAAAGAAATAACTGTGGGATTAGTAACTCATTCTCCCACCAACACTTGGTTTGAAGCCAGCTTCTATTTGTTATTCACATCTAGTGTGCTGTAGTTCTCTCTGTCGCAACTTTGCTCAAGAGCCAGCTGACAATGTATATATTCAGAGCTCAGATTACCAGAGGGGGCTGGTACAGATCTAAACCTTCTCCATTTCTTCAGTTGGCTTTATTTCCAAGTTTGTCCTTTCACCCATTTTAAAAACAGGATCTTTTTTTTCCTATTAAAAAAGGTCCCAGTCCCATTGTTACATAAACTTTTCCTAACCTTTGTTTCCAGTCCGTACACTTGTTAAGTATCAGTCGGTGATAATGACGGACTTTTATATGGGGTTGAGAAATGTCAAAGGCAAAAATATGGAAATCAAATCCTACTTCCTTCTAAATGAAGGCAGAAGGTAAACCGAGCGCTTTATTTAGATTTCTTCTGCTTTCTTTTCCATTCAGAAACGTCCAGTGCCTTGCGAGTCCTTGGAAAGTCAGGCTAACAAGAAACCGAAAGTATCGGATCAGAACCTGCACCAGCAGCCTCTCTCCAACGAACTTGTCCCCTCAGCTAGTTCTAACACTTCCACCCCAGTCAGCTCCAGTTTGCACACCAAGACTGAATTTCAGAAGACAAGCAGGCACCTCTCAGAGAGTCAAAATGGCTTCTTAGCTCGGCACTCGGTCAGCGACTCTGCAGGCACACACAGACCAGAGAGGGAGGGGCCAGGCCCCCTCTCCACCATTCTGAACCCGGCCCAGACCCAGTTCTCCAACCGCACGGAGCTGAGTCTTGCCAGCAGCCAGCACAAGAAGAAGAAGTCCAAAAAGCATAAAGAGAAGGAGCGAGAGCGATTAAAAGATGCTGAGAAGGACGAGTGGCCTGAACGGAGTCCTGATCTGAAGAACAATGTGGAGAATCTAAAAGGTCAGCAGTATACGTGCAGGGGCAGATACCCAAATCTGCTGGGCGCCTGTATGCTTTTCCTCCATGCACCGATTGGCAAGTCCCATAGAGGGTACTGTAATAGATGGCTCAAACATAATTCAGTAAACCCCCAGGTCAACAGATTTATCAGAGGGAAAGGGGTGCCCATTATTGATGAATGTCTGGTAAACCACAAATGATGTTTTCATCCTGAAAACACAACATTGTATGGGAAAAAATATATATATATAATGTTTATTTACTCTCTGGATCTTTTGAATTACTTATTTTTAACTACATCAATTAAAAATGCTCCTGTGCCTTTTGGATCACAAATAGACAAGCTCTGTAGATTATGTATCATAGATATTTTGTATAAAGTTTGCTAAAGCATCTGAAACAACACACATCATAAGCAGTTTGTATTCATGGGAAAAGTCCTTGATTTCTGATTTTACAGACAAAATTCCCTTAAGCTAATTTTGTCCGTTAAATCTGAAGCCTGCTAAAGAGAAGTTGGTTTAACCAAGGGTTTATTGTTTTCTATTATGGCATCATATCACGGTGCTTCCATAAGGATATTCAACAGCAATTGTATTGAATGTTTTAATGATTTCTACTATGTAATCAAATATTTTCATGACGGAAATACCATACTGTGGAATTTTGGAACTATTGTCTTGCTGAGGCACTGGTCTTTGGTGATATGAGATTAGATCATTGGATAGGTTTAAGGTTCAAGTGATTTGGCCTGCATTCCCACTTCAGTGACGGGAAAATCTATTTGTCCACTACCAGCAATCTGAGAAGAATCTAGCAGGATTTCTTTTGTTGTTTTAGGCATTAGTCTTACTCTGTTGGCTGTAGCGATATTCATATTGGTTTTCATTTTCATCGTAACTCACAGTACAGGTTGCCAAGACACAGATGGAATTGTGGATCAGTTTTCTGCTGTGGCTCCTTTTACTTTAAGCTTTCATTGAAAAGGAGGAGATTTTGACTACGTTCTAGGCACTATGTAAAAGGTGGTGGCAACTTGCATTGTGAGTACTTTTTTAAGCCCATTGTATAATGATTCTGATGGCCAACATGAAGGTATGAATCATTTTTACGAAAGGCAACATGTGAACTACTGTCAATTATTGGTTAAAAAAGGAGTTGTTCCTTTCATATTCCTCAGTGCCATGTTAAAGTTTCTCTTGTCTGAACTTGGCTTTAAGATTTGTTACTGTACCTGAGCGTGACCAAGGCAAGCTGCCTTTCTTTAAAAACCCAGCAGTCTTTCAAATCGAAATGCTCCGTTTCAGGGGTCTACTGTCGCCCCATGCCGAGTTTCATTTGTGTGGAGTCAAGAATAGTAAATCGACTGAGTGCCATTAGTGACAGCAAGGTCCTCACGAGAACAGAAATTCAAATGAGTGTGTATTTTTCAGTAAAGTCTGTGTAAGCCTGCCCCCCACCTCCTCACTCTGTAGACAGTTGCCTAACATCTGTGGAGGTGAATTAAGACACCTTCTGATGGCCACACAGATCCAGAGTCTGTTGCCACTGCAGCTTGCCTGAAAACAGATTGGCGATTGTTCCTGATGAGAGATAAACCGGGGTAGTTCCAGGCTGTGGCTCGAGTGCAGTGCTGCACTTACCCATTTCCTCTCTCCTTATCTGCAGACCACGACCGTGCAAACACACCTGTCTCCCCTGCCTCACCTGCAGAATTGTGTGACTATTTGCTGTGAGTATTGAAAACGCAGATGTCCATATGAAATTTCAGTTCTTCTCAAACGGGATGTTCTGTACCCCTGTTTTTAAAATTAGCGATGCTTCATTTCTCTGCACCTTTACAAGGGCAGCAGTGAGTTATAGTTTGAGATTTGAACAAGGACCAATCCTTCAGTCTAATGAAGATAAGGTTTATAAATAGTTAGATCATGTGCAGGACATTCACAGAACTATAAGGGAAAAAAATCATAGAGAGTCATTTAATGCAAATACACAGAAATGCTGAAGTTGCTGAATACCTCATTATCAGCCACTGTTCTATAAATCTTGCATATTAAAACTGCAGAAGGAGGAGATTCCATCTTTCTCATGGGATTTCTAGTAGACTATTAATCCAAGTATGTCATATAGCCTTATCTTGAAAGATCCCATGTCTATTTCAACAATATGGATGGGTAGAGTAGACTTAAGCAGGAGAACATAACATTTCTGATGTGCTGTGAATGACGAACACAATTATCTTTGTGGCAGTTTTACAGATTTGCACTTTTTTTCCCCTCTGCTGTACTTTATAATATTAATCAATTTTAGAAATTTCAGCTCGGCTGCATAATCAGTCCTGCTGGTAGTTAATTTGCATTAAGTACAGAAACTACTGCAGCGTGTTCACTAATCTGAGCAGCTGAAAACACAGCAACAGTACAGGAGATTTAATAGGCTTGTAAAGGTAATTATGTGGTATGCAGCATCTGTTTCTGTGCATCACTTAGAAAGGCAGGGCATTTTGAAATGTGTTGACTACCAGCTGGGCATTATCTCTATGCCCCATCAGGAATACATCAATCAAACTAAATATTTAATAATTAGCTTCATATGAACATGTCAAGGATGCTGATTTTTTACTGAAGTATTCACTGTAGATTTCCAAATTAATATGGAGAACAAACCCATCCATCCAAAGCTTTTAATGGCTCCTCGTGATTTTCTTTCATATGTGGGATCGGGATTAAGGACTCTAGAGGGGATTGCTGGTGGGTTTACTCTTCGCGAGATGCCAAAATATAAATGACATGGAAAGCTTGCCTCGGAGTGGTGATGCTCCCTGCCAGTTGGGAGTGGAAAGGCTCTGTACAGGAAAGCAGAAACATCCCCTGCTCAAACTGGGGTGTTTGGATAGGGAGACAAAAGGAAAACAGAATGACATTTAAAAAAGGCAGTGAATAGTGCCACCCACTGGCAAGACAAGGAAGTGTAGTTTCAGAACTCAAGTTTTTGGAGTCTCTCAGAATTCCTGGGTGTTAGAAATGCTGAATTATCACCCAGTGTGAAATTACTGAATGTCTGATTCAAAAGAAATTGCTGTGGGTTTGGGCAAACCCCAGTAATCCAGAGACTGCAGAATTCCTATGGTATCCTATGACCACCATGAAGAATCCTAAAGGATTTTTAATTTTGCTCCCTCCCCTCAGAAAGTACAACACTATTACAACCCCCGAGCAACGACAGAAGTACAAGGAAGATTTCTGTGCTGAATACGATGAGTACAGAGACCTGCACTCCAGAATAGGGAATGTCACTGAGAGGTTTGTTGAGCTGGGATCCAAGATAAAGACTCTCTCTCCGGGAAGCCAGGAGTACAAGGTATGGGCGTGTAACTTCTTCCTTCTCTTGTCACTTTCCACTTGGTGAAAACTCAGCTTTTCCCAACTGTAAGGAGATGCTAGGATTTCGACCCAACTCTGTACCCATGTGTCTGAGTTGAGAACCTTCTCTGCTTCGAATGTATTTCAAATAATTGCATATCCTGAAAATACAGCGGGTGTAGGAATTATTCATGTTGTGCATAATCCATTTGCAAAAGAAAAATCTAATAATGCCTTTTGAGAACTTAAAAAAAGTTGTCAGATGGAATTTGTATAAAAACTACAAAGGCCCATCCTAGTCTTGCAAACTGTTTTTTTTTTACATCAGACTTTGCATATGCTTGATCATCTGAAGTTTTTTTTTTGTTTGCATGTTTTATTGCAGGACATGGAGGACCAAATATTTGAGGAATATAGGAAGTACAAAAAGGTAAGGAAATTCAGATAAATATAATTTCCTTTCCTGGTAGTCAGTATAATAGATGCATGGTAAATAGGTAGAAAAAAATAAATCCACAAATCTTCATTCAGGTGACCTTAGTGATGGTTCCTTGCTTAAGATGTGGTTGAGCACAGATGTAAATTGTTTTTCCTTTCTGCCTGCACTTGTGCTGAGCCGTTGCAGTTGTGTGTTAATAATAATAAAATTAATCCTTTATATTTATATAGAACTTTTCTGGACATTCCAGTCAAAGAGTTTTACAGGTAATGGGGAATCCCACTACCACCACCAATTTGTAGCCCCCACTTGGATGGTGCGACAGTAGCAACAGTGTGCCAGTACGCTCACCACACACCAGCTATTATTATTGAGGCCATGACTGGTAAAGTCCAATGGGAAATTTGGCCAGGATGCGGGGGTAACACCCCTACTCTTTTTCGAGAGACATTTTTAATGACCACAGAGAGTCAGAACCTCCTACTGACCCCACTAACATTAGCAACCTTAGCTTTCCCCAGGAGGTCTTCCATCCAGGTACTGACCAGACTCACAGCTGCTGAGCTTCAGTGGGCTGCCAGCTGGGAGTTGCAGGGTGATATGGCTGCAGGCATGTGTTGGTGGCATTACGTGAAGGTGTTCACCCTGTCTCTCCTGTCCCCCTGCAGAAGTTCCCTGGATATCGGGAAGAGAAGAAGCGCTGTGAGTATCTGCACCAGAAGCTGTCTCACATCAAGCGCCTCATTCTGGACTATGACCAAAACCACATGCCTTCCTAGAGCCGGCACGCCTCTGTCGCTCTCATCGACCAAAACCTGCCCGGGGAACACTCCCAGCTCTGACCGTGTACCAGAACGAATAGGAAGACGCAGAACAGCTCTGTGTCAAGTAACGTCAGCGAGATGGTTGCTCATGTGGGATGGGCAGGACTCACTGGTTTGCAGTCAGATTCAAACCTTTTATTTGATGAGATTGGTCTTTTTGAGAGTGGAAGGTAGACTTGAACTCCAGCTCTCTCTGGTGCAGTAAAGGAGTGGAAGGACAAAGAGAAAAAAAGCCAAAATGCCCTTCTTTGCCTTCAGGTTCCTTCACGTAGATGAGATCTGCATCCTCCTCCGCTCTTTAGCCCAGGTGTTAAACTGTATTTCGTCCGCAGGAGAGCACGTTTCAAGTGAACGACTGTATTGACGGTCCACTCTTTTATAGACCCCACAAAGCACCTTATAAAATATTCAAGTCATAATGTGGCTTTTGCCAGGAAGACTTTCTTGGATTTCCTGTAAAATTTCCAAACAAAATTGATACAAGAGCGAATGATTAAAAATTGACATTCATTCATCTAGAACAAATCTCAACCCCCCAAGGCCACTAAAAAGTCCAAGATCTGATCCCTGTAATCAGGTGCAAGGATGATATTGAAATACAGTCACATGAATAGTCATTTCCATCACTCTACACAGGCCTCTCTCACTCCCAAGCATCCCTAGGGGCAAGCATCCCTGCCTTAGCCAAGCAATGTGCAGTCTTGTGGTGTTCCAGAAACAACATTAAATTATCTTGACAATATAATGCTTCATTTGGAACCAGGATTTGGATCAGGGTAGCTTATGCTATTGGAATCTTTCTCCAAGGAGAAATTAAGCATGACATTAGTAGGCTAAATATTGTGGAAGTGGAGAAACAGCGGTGGTTTGCAGAGTGGGTTGCCTGGGATGATGTACGAGTGAAATCACAAGCTGCCATTCCCCATCATTAACTAAAATGTATTAATGTTTGGTGGCTTATTGCACCATGCATTTCGATATACTCTCGTTTTTTTTGACGGAACGTTTTTTCTTCCTTTTCAATGTTTCTCCTGTCATCCCGGCAGGTACCTGATTGGCTCTGTGGAGTCTGATAAGCCACTTTGACCCAATCTATGAACATTGCCTGCTTGTAACAACAACCGACGTATTGCTCCGCATATTGGCAGTATGGCAATACATTGGCTATATATCTAAATCCCATAACATTACTGTTATAAAGTTGTAAAAAAACTAACTGTACTACAGTTTTCCCCATTCTCATTTCAAAAGAACCAAATGATTAACTTTTGTTTTCAGACAACACTATACCTTTTTGGCATTCCCTTAAATCTTTTGATTTCTAAAACGGGTGTCTGCTTACCAATTTCCCAAAACATAATTAAGAGCAGGTGTATTGAAAGACTTGGGTAGACTGGCGGTCTGTACGATAAGACATGACCTTCATTGTTACACAACAGAAGGCACGAAAAGAGCCGAGTTCTTGTTTCATCGGTCCTGCCTTCTCCTCAAAAATCGTTGAAAACAAAGCCGGACAGGGTGTAATGAAAAAAGAAAGGATTGATCAATCTCATGGTCACAAAGGTTTGCAGAAACAAAGTCCAAACTCATGAATAAAAGCTCTTTTAACCATCAAAATTCCAGGCCAGGCTATGGGGGTGCACAAATAAACACCACGTTTTCTGTAATTGGTGCTATAATATAAAAGCACGATGTATTGTGCAGTGTCCCTTCAACTCACAGGAGTGAGTCTATTTGAACTCCTTTCCCAGGAAGATTTATATTTATATCGCCATTCAATGATGAAAGAATTCCTTCATTCTCCAACACAATCGAAATGAAGAAGGAATAATCCAGACATTCGATACCAGGCTCGTTGATGACTGAGCAGGTTGTTCCACTGGAGTGTCCAAAGTTGCGGTCTGATTAAACTTTTGCTGGGCTGGAACTCTGGTAGAAGAGGCTTAGTGAAATGAGATGACCAGACTCCTAGCTGAAGAAGTGTCCTCTGTAACGCACTGGGGTCTCGGGGCTCTCAACAGAGGGCAGCGTGTGCCCACGGGCGGAGGCAGTCTGGTTACGGCTGCCATCCCCTCCGTGAGCCGGGCGTTTGCTTTCTGCCCTGCCTCTTCCTGCATCTGCTCATAGAAACGCACTGGTTTTTGTTTTTGTCTGTGCTCGAAACCCCATCTCCGTCCGACGTGGCAACAAATGAACTATTTCATCTAGAGCTGGGTGAGGTGCGATCGTTTTCAGGCCCACGGAGATTCCGCTCGTTCTGGAGTGAAATGGTAGAGGTAGCCATGCTCTTTCTGGAGATCCAGCAATCCAACAGTCCCAGTCCACTACTGTAGCTACGCTGGTGCTCTTTCCTGCTTTGGTTCACTGTGTGAACCCTTTCCACGAGGCCTTATTAGGGCCAGTTCCTCTATCAAAGAGATCTGTAGAAACACATTCCTGCCAGACTCCACGTTTTCCAAACAGCCATTGGGGGAGTGACTGCCCTGGAGGAGTATGCTGGTTTTCAAATGCACTTCATCAGCCCTACTTGAATTTTAAATCCAGCTATCTTGAGATAATGTGGCTTCTTATTCAATTCTGACTGTAAGGAAGAAAACAGACTGCATAGATTTGGTAAAATGGGATAGTAGTTTATTTTTTATAATGTTCTTATTGTTCATGTTTTATAAGCCAGGTTTAGAGATGCCTTATTAATCCAAACCACACAAACAAAATGAGACAGCCAGCATATGAAATCCCATACAGTACACCATAATGTGTTCCTTTCCGTCTCTTGACTTGGAAATGTAGTGGCCTCTTTTATAGGCAACAGGTCAGTTAGCATGAACATCTCTTCCAGAAAAACAAATTGCTTGCAGCTTTTTCCCCATTTCCAAATCTTTGTTTGGAAATTCAGAAATGTCACAATCGTATGTTGTTTTGTTTTTTTGCCTTAAGCTGACAGTCACTCTAAATCCAAAAGGCTGAGTTTTGCTTCTGCCTTAGGTCTCAGTCTGAGGATCACTATAGAGTGTGCCAGTAAGCGTTAGCCTGTATTACCTGTTAAATGTAAAATTGATTCTGGTTTCTTCAACTGGAAAATAACCAGATTTTGCTTGTCCAGTTTCAGCTTATCAAGGGCTTAGCACCTAAGTGTTACTTGAGAACCTTGTTTTGCAACAAAGAACACACTAAAAACGACTTCAACATCACCCTAATTAATCAAAAAGTGACATTTCAGACTTTTAACTTACTATTCAGAATCAGCACATAGTATGTATCCCATTGCTTCTAGGACACAACCTAGAGGAAATGAATAAAGAATTCCTTCTCTGCTACTTACATTCCTGATTTCAAAGGATTTTAAAAAGTATTTTTTTTTCTTTAAGTTTGTTTGGTATGTGGATTGAAGTCTTAAAAGTAATCCTGCTTTGAACTGGTTTTACATGTGTGATCAAGAGCCAGAATGGTCTAAATTGACATCATAACAGGACCGATAACATGCTGTAGGACTCCTCCTATATGTTCATTTTGTAACAGAACAGGCATGTCCCACAACTGTTGGATCCTTGGCAAGCAAGTTTTGTAATGCTGACTCTAGCTTTAAGAAGGATGCATCTCAATGATGCCCTATTTCAGTTCAGATCTCTTATCTTCCTCTCCTCACTCAAGAGGAAGTTTTATTCATCTGAGTGGTGACACTGCTGTGTTGGTCATGACTTAAACCTCTTGGTCTCTCTGTACTGTTCTGATATGTGGGCATGTGGCCACGGGTGCAGTTTGTAGGTCTGTGCCACTATGCGAGTCCAAACATGAGCTTTTCCAATCCAGCTTTAGAGTGCTAAACTACATGTGGGGGGTGATTGGGGAAGTGTTTTTATTGGATTCCCTGCATTAATGGGAGAAATCTGCAGATCTTTTGGTCCTGGCTTATACAGAGTCGGGCATAAAGAATGTAGGTTACATAATTGTATTGGGCTGGTTTCACAGCCACTTGTCTTAGACTGCCGTCCCTGAATTAACACTAGATAGTCTTAAACTCTTAGGAGTCTCTGAAACAAAGATGTCAGTGTTTCAATCTGTTAGCCATATGCAAACGTACAGTATGGGAGGGTATGTTCTCATACTAACAAGATGGTAATGGCACATGGAAAAAGGAGTAGGTATTTCCGAAGAAGTTTCTGGATCATAATCTTTATTTTTGTTGTAACACTTTCAAACTGTACTATAAAACTGATATGTAGTTATGTACCTTTAATCCAGCGTGGAGGGAGACATTTATTTTGTCAGCCATGCAGGTGTCAGTATTTAGGTGCCTATCATGAGAGATTTCGTACCACATGAGCTCTACATGGGATTTGTAATCTTTAGAATGGATTTCCAAGCATGGCAAAGTGAAACAAATTTAATACCGGCTCAAATGCATTGTCTTTAAATTGCATTTTAAAAATGCATCTCTTCTCTTCTACAGTTTGGTGTAGCTAGCTGAGGAAATGAATCCTTGTTACAAGCTACCATAATATGTATTTAAAAGTTTTAATATTGAGTGCAAAATATAAAAACACAAAAAAATCTAGTATTCTTTAGGGGTGGGGGGGTGTTTTCGAAATTATCTTCATCTCTTTGGCTCGTGCATTATGTGTTTAATTTTATTTGTTGTTGTTGGAATACTAAATGTCTTTATAGAAATGTGAACATTTTATTTCAATTGTCCTGTACAACATCTCTGCATTTTTGTCTACCTGTAAGAAAAATCTGTGTAAGAAATAATTTATTGCTTTTCACTTTTTTGTGTGTGTCTTCTCTTGGTTTGGTTTTTATCCTTTGCACAAAATTACTGTCCTCTTTAAGGTAGACAGAAGGCAACATATCCCTTGTCAGAGGGTAATGGGATATATATTTTTGCAAATCTCATTTTAAAGGGTATGTACCAACTTTTACTCTTCCTTTGAGAAAAGAAAATGTATTTTAAATGTATCTGTAAAATAAAGTTCTTTTCATGCAAATTTTTCAGTTTATTTCACCTTTGTGATTATCACTCCACAGCCTGACGTGTTGCGCAGGAGCTGCTGGTGCAGAATAGCTACTTTGTGTTCCTTAAGTGGAGTTAAACTGCACTTACTACTGTTTTACTAGTAAATTGTCCGTTTACTACCTCTACTCTCAACGAAAATCTGAACTCTGCGTGAAACGTGATCATTCATAATACAGTGCTGCTCAGGAGATCTAGTGTTGCAAAGCGTTTAATTTATATCACTGGAAAGCAGGAAACTTAATTTAAAATAGAAAAATAAATCAACCCAAACCCAGCAAAATACAATACAATCAATAGTAATTCCACAACACTGAATTTCTAGATCATACTTAATATTTAGAACTGATCGACGGGCTGCAATGGAGCGCTTGGAAGTTATCAATTTATCAGGCTCTTTCAGTTTAAAAGCTTGACGTTGCAAGATCTGTCCAGCAGAGGGCGGTCTAACCTCACTTCAGGTAGGCTTGAACACTGCTGACGCCACTTCAGTATTCAGTGCTGTGGCTGAAATCCTCTGAAAATAACGTTTTCAAAAATCTTGATCTGTTCTGCTGTGAAAAGTTTCATATCCACCTTTAGGAAAGAAAGTTGAACCACAGGCAGGTTAAAACAGCCGAGGCCTATTGAATAGAATGTTATATTATCCCCTGTAATCATTAATGGTAGGTTTGCATAAACATAAGATAAGATCTCTTTATTAGCCATATGCAATTTCTTGTATTAAGAATTTGTCTTTTCACATACCCCAACTTACTCTCCATGAGACACGCAGACAGGGGGAGAAGCTTGGGGTCAGAGCGCAGGGTCAGCCATTTATACAGTGCCCCTGTAGCAGTTGGGGTACAGGGCCTTGCTCAGGGGCCCAATGGAGTAGGATTCCTCTGCCAGCCACGGGATACGAACCAGCAACCTTCCAGCCACAGGTGCAGATCCTTAGCAAACATTTCTACGATGTTAGATGGGAGAATTATTTTGGTATTTAGTAAGGAGAATTTCCAAAGCAAAGTCCACATTCAACTGCTCCCGGCTATTAGGATCAGCCTGGTCGTAGAGCCTGAACGTTTGATAAGGGTGTCGCATTGCTGTCAAAGTACTGTTTGGCCTGTGCATCCTGAGGATACGTCACATTGTATCTTTTAAGCCTGTTACTCAGTGAATGATGCTGGTGTCTTTTTTCGAACACGCACCAAGTGTCAAAGGCTGTCTTAGAAACTTGATTGGCTATCACACTCAGTCGCATTGCTTTCACCAATATTACCTTCATTTGCCTTCAGATGAGCCCCAAGAGAAACCAGCTCTTTTCTAGCGGATAATCACATGATCTGTTCTGTCATGGTGCTGGCTGAAGAAACTGTAGACCCGACTGATGGGTCTGAATTGGGCAAGATAATTCAAACATACCACAATCACGATCACTCAAGGAGTAGGGAAGGCTGCTGTCTAACAGGTTATGTAGGTTAAGTAAAGTCCTCAGTGAGTAAAGACCTGGAAATCAATCAATCAATTATACATGTTTTTTTGTAAATAAGTAAAGAACTAAAATCTTAGTATTCTTCAGCCTACAATGAACAGAGGTCTCTTCATTGAAAAAGATGACTTGTTTGATTCATCATTGGTCCAGTTGCCAGTCTTGGTGACCTGCACCTTGTTTTTGTGATGGCTGATTTTAAATGTTCTCTTGAGTAGCATTCTTAATCGGTCCTGCTACATAGTTATATAGCATAGCCTACTGAAGTATATGAGATCACTAAGTGACATGATGCTTTAGAGCACTTGACAGCAAGTTTCTTTTTACAGATTATCAAAAGAATGGGAACCACAATAAATTTCTGAAATTAAAGGTGTGAATTCACCTTTAACATTAAGAACTATTTCTTCTATCTTTTTCTATCTGCTAATGTGTTCTGTGAACTTTTAACCTACCTTATAAGATCAGTTTTTACGGTCATCCTCAAGTAGCAAGCTAATAACGTGATGATGAGCCCTCTTCTATAACCTTCCCTCCCTTTTCACCATAAAGACCAATCGTGAAGCCACCCCCCTTTTCAGCAGATTATGCGGCAGGAGCCTGAGGATATTTTTGGTATTTCCGTACTCAGTTTCAAAGGCATATTTTCTTTGGAGATTTCTTCTTGCACTAAATCATTTTCATGCTGCTACATGTTGTTTAACACCTCCAGAGTTCTCATGTTTATGCACAGTACATAGCTTTATTTGCAGGTGCCAATTCAGCCTGTAATCCCTGATTTTAAAAATAAAGCTTTGAAAATGGTACATTTTCCTTCTCTCTATAGTCACCTCTAGTATTGGTTGTGCTTTAGGCCCTTGACGTTTTTGTCTGAATCTTACATCCAGCTATCACCTGTTTCTAAGAAACTAATTTGGACTTTTTTCCTTTGCACTACTCCTATTGCACCGTTCCTTGAAAACTGAAGTCACTTCCCCTTTTTCAAGGGTCTCCAGACTTTCCTGTTAAAAAGCTGTGCATGGCTACAGTTTACAGAACTCAGTTAAAATCAGACAAGTTCCCAGAATACAAGTGGAGAGGCTACTCTGTGAATTCAACCTCCAGAAACACTGCCAAACTAGACACAATTGCTTTTGATCCTGTTGACTACATTCATCACCAATCTGCAATGATCTTCCTAATTAAGACAGGCACAGAAAAGCATTAGTCTCACAAGGAAACACACGTGATGTGCTTGGTCTCACTTCTGTCACCTTATAAAAACGATGTGCCTGCCAGTTGGTTTGAGACTGTAGCTGGCATGTCTAACAGGAAGATGGCGGTGGGCCACATTGACCACAATCACCAGCGAACACAGCCAGGAGCTCTGCCTTACACGAAGAGTCCGACACTCCAGGAATGTTGTTTTTAGTGACAGATGAAATCGCAGCCAGTCAACCCTCCCACTCATCTGGACAACATCTTTGGCAGTGATGGCCTTTCAGAAGGTCTCTCCATCTAACAAATGCCGACAAAGTCCCTTCAAACCTGAAAAACACAAGTTAAAAAAAAAAAAACAGTTTATTAATCTAAGAACAGAACAATCAGCCTAACGTTGACATTTGTCACTTTTGCATAAGGTAATATAATAAGCCTACAGATGAAAGCGTTCAGGTCAAACAGTCCATTAAACAGAGCAGCTCAAGAATAATGAGAGCCCTACCAGCAGGATGGGGCAGCATGAGCTCACAGAAGAAGCTGCTGAACAAGACAAGAGCAACAGGTCCCACAAACATTCTGGCGGGAAATTTGCTGCACTCGATTTTTAACTTCACCAAAATTTTAAAGCTTGGATTTATTCTGACAAATCAATGAATATTTTGTGCTTTGCCAGTTTCATAGCTTTTTAAAAAAAGGCCACAGGCAGTGGAAAATCCAACATGAATGAAGGAAAACGTGAATTGTTTTCAACAAGCTTGACGTGTGTCAATGTAAGCATTACAAATGCAAACTCAAATACCATAATTAGTTCTCGGTATTCATGAATATCAGCTATTTACTGCTGGGCCCTGAACAGCCATCTGGAAAGCATAACTTACCATTTAAAACAAAATGAGAAAACTGTAGATTTTCAATAAATTACATCAATAAACCGAAGTTCACGAAAACTATTAAACACTATTTTCAACATCTGTAGAGCGAATTCCCGGTGTTGTAACAAATAAGTTCTGGATCCAGAGATGAAGTTTAAACAGATGGGTTTTATTGCATGCAAAGAACAAATAACCGAAGTATTGTTCGAAGTACCGGTACAAAACTTCCAGTTTATATAGCCCTTTTCTGCCGCTTCTGACGTAGCTCATTACCATGGTAATGGGGGAAGGTCATGGTGTTCGGACAGTCCCCCAGGCTTTGGTCACCCTTAATGGTCAGTTTTAGGTTTCCACCCTTGGGGGGGGGTTTCTAGTTGGCATCTGTAATCCTTATCAGTTATCCCCCTTCCCTGCCATAACTTAGAGCCTGGAATGTCTTGTGTCACACGAAGTCCAGTCCTTGTGCAGAAAGGAATTAATTAACATCCTTAACTGATTCCTTTCTTCACAACCCATATCTTTCTTCACCGGGGAATAAAAAGAAAATAATTATGTTCACTGTGAACAGGTTTTGGCAAAATAATTCCCCTTTGAAGTGATTTAATTCAATTAGTGGGGTAACTGCAGTGCATTAATGTTACCCATTTACTTTATTTAAGCAATGCAGTTCAATCCAGAGCCTCACAGGTTCCCTATAATCTCGTTCATATTTCTCATAAACAATAAAGCTACATTACATAAGTTAATGTAATACAGTACATATATAATTCATATAACAAGGGCTGCTCAGCAAATTGAATTGCATGGTGGGATCTCTCTTGTTAGGGGCTGGGTAGGTATCACACATTGAATGTTCAATCTAACTGAAACTCAAGAGGGAGCAGATTACATTACAGCACTGCCCGACTCCCTGTCATTTAAAGGAGCCAGTTCCCGACAGATCCTGCTGCGTTCTTTCTTTAGCAACCATCAACAACTACCCATTACTATAACTGCCAACCACATAGCTGCCCTTAGGGCTGTTTATGTGAGAGTACAAGAAAAGCTAGTGACTTGGCATCAGAACAGTTTGCCCTTACACACTACAAAAGCTTGAGTGAATCTACACCAGTATTACAGTATGTTACTCTAATGGTTTCATATACATTCGTTAAGGATTCAAATGCCCAACATCAGATGAGAACTCTTCGGAACGCAGCCTTTCCCACAGCAAACATCATGATACGACTGTACGAATCCTGGGACAACTAGGGTCCACTGGAGTCAGCATTTGTATTCTGTGCATGTCTCAAAATGACTCATCCTTCACACAATTACTTTCTCTTTAAGCGGACAAGATTGCATGTTGACAACGAATTATATTTAATGTAGTTCTCGGGAAACATACATTTTTCCCAGAAATGATGTTCAGAGCTGGTAAAAATGACAATG